ACACACTCCCGACAGACTTTGCAAGGTGTTACTAGACTGGTATTTTACTTATTATGAAAAAATCAGTTGCAATTTTTTTGCTTATAAATAGAAAATTTTGCCGATCATATATACGGTGAAATTTTTTTGTGCTGAAATTTTAAAAGTTCTTTTTTATTAAAAGTTAGATTTTTTTTTAATAACGATAAATGATTATGTAATTTATGTAAAAAATATCATAGCAAAAAAATTCACATGATCATATGAAATGTCGAATAAACTTTGTTATTCTCCATTATACAGTACTTCGTTATAAACAATATCGTTAAGCAAGTTATTAGTTAGTAATTGCATCTTTTTTTAACGATCATGAAGTCCACAAAACAAAGAAAAAATCGATGAACTATTTATCAACATTGAATCCTTATATTATTAATAATTATATAGATGCTATTCACATCATTCAAATAATCTTCAACATGTTTTTTTGACTATTAATTGATTCATTTTTAAAATTTTTTAAATTAATATCAAGTTGTTAAATATAATAGTAAGGCTTATAATATGATGCACTATTAATGTTATATTGAATATAATAGTAAGGTGATGCATAATTATAAGGTGTATATAATGTATAATTTTGAAACAGACTGTGTCTATTTAAACCTTTTCTTTTGGGATTGTATTTATAGTTTGAAAACAAATAACTATGAACTCTCTTTGCAAATTCAGACACCTTGTTATAAAGTTTTTTAATTTCGCAAACGTTTATGTCTTTCCATAACTCGAAAGTAGAAAATTCACCTTTCCATAACTTACTAGTAAGATTTGAGACAATGTTGAAATTGTTTTCTTGGGGATTACATGAATTCCAATATGCAGTAAAATCTCTTTGAAAAAGTACGAAACCGTTTTGTGCTCTTGGCGGATTAGACTTGGTTTTTTTTTTCTTGTCATTGGGAGCAATTAATTCAAATAAAGAAAGAAAGGTTTTTGATTCAATTTCATTAAATTCATCAATTTCTTCAGGTTTTGTAAAAACCTTATTAATAGTATTTACAATTTCTTTACATTGCAACGACATTCTTTAAAAGTGTCATAATGCTATTGAAATCCTGAATACATACATATAT